GTATGCTACCCTGTGGAACTCCCACGGAACAGGGCAGAGACCCGGACACAGAGCTTCCATGTTTCACAACTGTTCCCTTCTGATGTTACTATCACTAGTTTGGTCTCTTTTTTGTTCGAAGTGTGGTCTTTTTTTATCCTTTATCCCTTAGTACCTTGTTAGTGTCCTTTCAGTGCTTATTTGTTTTAGTATTGTTGTCTCTTGGCATTCAAAGTTGTCAGTAAAGTAGGAATTTCATTGCTCAGGGAAACACGTCTTCATCTGTGTATATGACAATAAACACTGTGAATCTTTGAATTTAGGGATTTATGACATTTTATGAGGTTCACCAGCATGAACACAAAAGTAAGAATACAAGAACAATATATAGGCCAGGATGAATAGAATGATCTCTTTTAACACACACCCTTTACTTTCCTAGAAGGAAACAGTTGCGTCACTTTAATTCATAAGAAGGTTCCTGGAAGTGTGACTCAGTTGGTATAAAAATAATTGAAACATAATGGTATTAGTTTCCTCCAGRTCATTAATTCTGACTGTAACTTGAGCCCACTGACTTCCTGTCTGTGTTGTGTGATATTTACAGAACCTGTTCACCAAACTTTTAGAAAAAGGCTCTATCATATGAGAGAAGGAGGTAAGACAAGCCTTTTTTTTCTTTGATTTCATTAGTTTCTCTTAATCCAAAGTAAATACATAATAGCTAATTTAGCATAAGTCAAGTTGGGTTATTTATGTAGCAAACATAGCATACAACACAAAAAAGTATAATTGAAAGTGCATACCCTTTGTATAAGAAAACAGAGCTTCCCAACCAATCAGAATCGTCAGCTGCCTGCCGGCTTAAGCCAATAAAACGAAGCTGTGCAGCTCGTGGAGCGAGGACAACTCCTCCCATCCAATGGAAATCCAGCTTTGGCACAAAGGCCTGTGATGCAGCAGCTTTAGGAAGTCCAGTCCATTGCGTGTGAACTGGAGAGAAGCCAAAGCAGTGTCACTAAAAAGAACAAAGTAAACAACTTCTCTCATTCTCCTGCCTCAGCTTCTCTTTGCACTTCTGACCCTGCACCCCTCCTTTTCTCGGATGTTGAGCCATGCCATTGACTCCTTCTGTTTTCCTTTCCTTTCTTCCAGGAGATGTAATGACAGACAGACAGACAGACAGACAGACAGACAGACAGACAGACAGACAGACAGACAGACAGACAGACAGACAGAGACAGACTGACAGAGGAGAGGTACAGCCCAGAAACAACTGCGTCACAGTCCTCGTCTCTTGTAACTATACGCAGAAATAAATGTTACTCTGGGAGAGCTTTGCCAAATCTTAATGGTTCTGGATTGTAAAAACAAGTCTCACAGTAAAAGTAAGGCTTAGGTAAAACTGTTATATGATGGCAACAACTGGAGCCTTATGAACCTTTATGCTGATTCTTTGCTCCAACTTTGAAAAGAGCTAACCAAGTTAAGCTTAACCAACACAGAGCAGCATTGCAGCATTTTAAACAGACTTGTTTATCAAGCATTTTCATTGGATTTTCTGTACTTTCTACTTGTCTGCAATGATCCACGCCTCTGTAATTCTGTTTCATAAGAGCTATCAGACAACGTCGGACCTGATTCGCAACAATGGAAGCATCCATCTTCCACAAAGCGATGATGGCAAAAGAAAGCACTATACCTTGATAAATTCACGGCAAAACAATCCTGAATGAGCTTGATATAGGGGCCCTCCAGAATATTCTTTTCTTAAACCCTTTGTCGTAGCTCTGCCCACCCGGCTCCACCTCACCAAGCTATCAAAACAAGACCTAGTAAAACTGTGTCACATCCTCAGCATCCATGTTGAAACTCTGACACCAGCAGCTCACGGGAACTACGCAACACTCGCACACATTTATAGTAACGACAGGCAGAACACATCGAAACTACCAAGGAGGAAGAGGAGGAGAAAGTCGAGGCCGTCCGAAAACCCAGCCGTGCCCACGCTGGGTGGAAGAGGACTGAGGATGACTCTGGGCTTCTGTTATCTCAGCTTCTGTTCCTCCCGACATGAAAAACTGACGTAGCAACTAATCCGAAATCACTCACTCGCACTCACTGTCTGACTTGCTCGCTCTCTCTCTCTTTCTCTCTCTCTCTCTCTCTCTCTCTCTCTCTCTCTCTCTGTCTGCTTCTCTTTCTTTCTGCTTGCACTGAACACAGTTTATTTTCATCTTGTTGCAACAGCAGAACTGCTATTAGATTGTCACTTTAAACTCACACTCACACACAGACAAAAAGAACAGATCCTACACTAATGCGTATGTACGTGCGCATTCACGCTCACACAGCTGTGCACACGCACGCACCATCACACGATTCTGCTCTCTGAATGTGACGCAGCACTTAATTTCTCCACGCTTTTTATGCCACTGTACGCAAACGCAGCTCCTTGATCAGGCTGAACAGAAACACACTTGCTAGCCGCCACAGAAGCCAAGTGAGCACGAGGAAGCTACGTTTAAAGGGACCCTACCACCACGGCTCCCCTGTTCCCCCACTCTGTGACGTGGCCGTGTCCTCATTTCCCCCCTACGTCCCCTTATATTTGGCTCTCTCCCTCTCCGCTGCGCTCCTCTCTGGCACTCTGCTCCCGGCTGCAGATGCTCTCCGGGCTCCTGTGTGTGTGAAGCTGAGCAGCCTCCCTGATCACCTGACAACCCACTGGTTTTAAAGGCACACCATCACTAGTGTGTGTGTGTGTCAGTTGCATAAGCACCCAGACACACTTTGTAAAACTCTTATTGATGTTGCCACTTGGCTTTCCTTATTTTGATGATTTATAGGTCCAAGGTGTATCCGCAGGTGCATTCAGCGGTAATTATTTGCATTTCAATGCAAAGAATAACTTTCACAGCTCAGCACCATGAATCAACTTCCTCTGCAGAGCTGCTAAGCACAGATCTTCCCTGACAAAATCAGTCAGACTAATTAAAGGTATAGCCCAGCTATTTTCTAAGTAACATTCTGACTACTAGTTATTAATAGTTAGTACCTTATCAACATTGACTTCAGTCAGAGAGCAAAGTACAGAGAAAGATGCAAAAATCTCCAACCAGGCTAGGCTAAAAGCTAGCCAAACAAGTCTCTTTTCGTAATCAGAATACTTTATTGATCCCCGAGGGAAATTACAATTATTACAGCTGCAACCGCTCAGGTAAGAGAGATTCGAGAAGAAAGAAGTACAGCACACTTGAAT